AATTTCCTTTCTTACAAATTTTGTTTCAATTGTAATGATTTTAGCTAAGAAGATCCACATCCAACACACTGACAGGTAAATGATTTGCTAAGGACAAATTTATTTTATACAGATAAATGAGCTAAAGTAAGATAATTAATAGAAAAATTGTGACCAAGTTATGCTAAATTTAATCATGTCTTTGACTTATAATTTTGATTCTATTCATTTGTTTACAATCATTTATTTACTACATTTGACAGTCAATTTTGTTCTTCTGCCAACAATCTTTAAAAGCATCATCAATATCTCAATTATGAATTTTGACAGATAAACTTAAATTTAAGAAATAATTAAAATACAATCCAATTTCTATGATGGTAAAAACTTGTTAAAGTTTAGACAAGTATACTAAAATTTTTTTAAATTTTTATGGAACAATAGTTTCTCAAAGACTTCTATTGTTGATGGAAGAATTTAAATTCCATGTTGCAAAGGGTTAATATGCATATCTTTACATTTTTTTCATATCTTGGCAAGTTTTTATTAGACATTTGATCTCTCTCTCTCTCTCTCTCTCTCTCTCTCTCGACATATTGATTATTTCATTTAGTTGATTTGTTCCTGTGTTTTCTTCAAAATTCATTTTATACTATATAATTATAGCTTAGGATATATCTACACAAACTTACATAGTCACATAAACGTATGCATAAAGAAAATTATCCAATCGCAACTTACATGCATCTCCTATAAAGATGCATGTAAAATGTGATTGGATAATTTTCTTTATGTATATGTTTATGCGGCTATGCAAGTTGTGTGGACATACCCTTACAGTCAATGTATAGTATTTGAAGAACAGAAACTCAGTAACAATAGTGCCTGTGTTCCAAAATTTACTGTCAGTAGTAAAAATCTATAGAACACGTGACATAAACTATAGATTTTTAGTACTGGTAGTAAATTTTGGAACACAGCCAATATACGATTCCCTTTGCTCGCTCTCGCTCTCTCTCTCTCTCTCTCACTTTTTTTTTATTGTTGTAGACAGAACTTTTTCAACTTGACTACATTTACGTTATAATGTATATATAATGCAACGATAAACGTAACCATTATGAAACTTGCAATTACATAAAAGAATGAGGTAAGCAGCATATAAAAATCTTTTATAATATATACTGTAAATTCATAAACACACACACACACACACACACACGCGCGCGCGCGCGCGCGCGCACGCGGCTGTTCATTATGATTCACATTCCACCATTCTGTTGCTCAATGTTCTGCAATACTCATTCATTGCAGAGGATTGATTCTATATCGTGAAACGAGGTGAAAATTATAAAAGTGAGCGAATTTACTAGAATACTGATGATTTCATTGGTCAACACCTAGTTAATGTGCTCACTTTTGTAATTTTCACCTTCTTTGAAAATACAGAATCGACCCCCTGGATTTGCAGATGAATGCTTACGATTAGGACATGTTATTCGGTGAATAGATAAATATTTTTCTTAAACCGAGTCACATGCAAAGTTAGGCACTACGAATAAAATCAGCAGAAATCGGATAATTGATCGTTACGATTTCGACACAAAATTATTGGAGAAATCTGACTCTTTGATGGTATCGAGTCTACTTTTTCTCTTTTCCAAGTGGATTTCCGATCCACAAAGGCACGTCACAGTATCATAAGTCTACTTCAAGCTATGATCGGCGGTTACAGACGTTACAGGCATATTAGAGGATTCTATCTCTAGACATATAGGATCGTTCGAGATTTCGGAGTTCACTCAGGCGCAAGATTCGGCAAACACAGTGCGCAACATCGCACTCCAGCTTAGCGAAAGATACATTTTTTTCGATAATTCTCGTACTCCACTTCGCTACTCCGCTATGCAAGGACAACAATGTACGCGAAATGTGAAACAGTCAAAGACAACTACGCAAGCGGCAAGTAGAGTCCCTATAACAGAGTATGGACAATGCTGAAGCGATTGCTGATTGGTTCCGCCATTAACAGTCAACTTCCTGGCGCACATTTGTACACCTTTTGCGACTATGAGCAATTAGTGTGAACGATAATAGAGCAAAATAGAATAAGCATATGAAAACGAATAAATTTTTTTATAAATTACACAATAGTAAGTATAATATATGAAAAAATACAAATAATACTAATTGTGTTAATTATTATATTCATCGACATATTAACCTAATATATTTTATAGCTTTAAAATGCCTGGCTGTTCAGCGGAGAATTGCACGAATTTCTCGGTGAAGGGATATAAAATGGTTTATTTTCTCAAAGATGTCAAAAGACGAGCAGAATGGAGTTTTTTTATTATGGTAAAAAAAGCTGCGCAACAACGTTATAATGAAACTTGCGTTAGGCCGGAATCAGACTACGCATTGAAGATTGAGGTTGAAGATTGAAGATTGAAATTTAACCAATAAGGACAAAGAAATTTTAGCTCCTTTCGTTTCGATTGGTCAAATTTGAATTTTTCAATCTTCAATCTCAATCTTCAATGCGTAGTCTGATTCCGACCTTAAGAGCACGGTATTAGAAGTATAGGTGGTTATAACGATAACGAAACTTGCGTTAAAGGTGCCATTACATGCAAGCGTCGAGGATCGAACATCTGCGCAGAAGATTACTGCTGATTACTGCGCAGAAGTTTGAATCTCCAAACTCCTGCGTAATAATCTTTTGCACAGCTTCTTGACGCAAAATGGTAAATTATGAGAGATTATATTCTGATATACATCACTATCCTAACATATAATGTTAAAAATTTATATTTATTTACATTATATAGTGTAAACTACAAGATTCCACTATTAGTGTATCTCGTATGTACATTAAATTCAATTTCAGTAAAATTATTAAACATATCACTGCGCATGCTCTGACGCTCGACGCTGCCATGTGAAGGCACCTTAAGAGTTATAGGCCGGTATTCATAGTCGAGTCTTATTTCAAGACTGCTTAAGTAATGTCTTAAGACACTAATGCGGCCCTCTGATTGGTTCGTGACATCTTAAGATTGTACTTAAGACGGTCTTGAATATAAGATCTGACTATGAATACCGGCCATAGAATAGCCCTGCTGGACCAATCATGATAGAAGCAATAGGGTGTGCCCGTGCGCAGGCATTTTTTGCTGGCCAATTTCAGAGCATGACTCAACCTCGCCATCTTGAATAATTTCTAAAGGGGGATCAATCTTCGAAGGGGGTCAATTAAAACTTTGAAGAAGAAGAAAAAGAAGTGATAAGTTTCGCGAGCCAAAGAAACCTTTTTAAGTCTTTTTTAGTAGAGGCAAGCCGACAAGGCACCTTGCGCTGTTGGATCCTTTGACTATATAGGCTGCGTCTACACCGTCCATTTAGGCCGCGACCTATACAATAGATGTCTTTGTTTATCCTATATATTAAACAAAGACACCTATCGTATAGATCGCGGACTAAGCGAACGGTGTAAACGTAGCCATACACCTGGGCCCCTATTCTGTTATCCCGGATCTACAATAGGGTTTTAAGCCTTAATCTTGGCAAGCCAAGACCGATCACGAGCTATGCCGAGCCACGGGCCGTGGGACTCCACCTTTATAAGTATAGAACTTCGTCCTGAATTCTTATACAAATTATAGATCGTTTAAAGTCCGTTTTAACTACGAAAATATAATAAAGGCACAGTAATACCTCCAAAAATTATACCATTAAATTATATATAACATTAAAGAGAGATTAAAGACTATTTGGTATGTTATTATCAGCCTGTTCTTCTTAGCTGAACTTCTTGTACGGTTCATCTCTCTTTTTTCTTTTTCTCTCCAATGTGGAAAGAAAAGGAAGAAAGATGAATCGTGCAAGAACTTTAGCTAAAAAGAACAGACCTTATAAGATATTAATATTGTTCGTAAAATATATTCACATTTAATTGATATATAAATTTAGGGGTTAACCCCACTTGTAACTTTGAAAAAATCAAATTTTTTTTTATTGAATTTTTTTGAAGTATATCCGGCTAATCTGCCGCCTGACGCGGTCGACCCTCTCTCCGGTTTCTATCCATTGTTTTGTGAAAAGGATCGTATACCTGGCTTTCCTGGCATTCATATAATAGTCTGGAATTTGTAGAAACGAATTTTCGTTGTTGTTTATGATTTAAATTCGTCAGTGTAGCTCGAACGTTGGACAACTCGAGACGTGTTTATTTTCGCCGTTCAGTATATTACCGCAGTTTTTATTTATTTTATACATAAATGGATCCAAGGAAAGGTTCGCGAAGATCGAGAAGCGAAGAAGATTTCCGGAAATCCCGACCAAAAAAAAGGAAGAATGTTTTTAACCCGAAACTGGTCGAATCGGCGAGTGAAAGTTTCAGCGCGTCTGCGAAGAAAATGAAAGATAACGTTGATATGATTGTGTGTCAGGATAGTAATGTTGAATATCGCATTTTAAACTTTTTGACTGTGTTTGCTGCGATTTCGAATTTAGTAAAGTGCAAAACGTGTGACAGAAATATTAAATTGTAAACTACAAGTACGAGAGGATTAGGCTTCAAACTCGTTATAAAATGTGACTCGTGTGCAGATAACTTTATACCATCTTCTCCTTTTCTGGCACATTCGTATGAAATAAATCGTCGATTTATATTCACGATGCGAGTTCTCGGCTTAGGATTGGCTGGAGCACAAAAATTTTGCGGACTTATGGACATGCCAAGTTTTCTTTCCGAAACGACGTACACAAGGATTTTAAAAAGCATTTACGAGTCTGTAAAAACAACTGTTGATGTAATATTCAAAAAAGCCGTACAAGAAGAAGTTGAAAATACACCAAATGCAGCAGGCGATGCAACTTCAACATTGACAATTTCCGGAGATGGATCCTGGAGGAAGCGAGGATATACGTCGTTATTCGGAGTTTCAACTGTCGTAGGATACTACAGTGGAAAAGTGCTTGATCTTGTGGTAAAAAATTCGTACTGTAAAATGTGTGAATCGTGGAAAAATAAACTAAATGATGTGGAATTCGAAGAATGGTTCGAAACACACGAAAATGAATGCAGTGCAAATCACAAAGGCTCCGCGGGAAAAATGGAGGTAGACTCTATTGTCGAGATCTTCAAGCGTTCAATAGAAAAATATAATGTCCAGTACCGCTACTATATTGGAGACGGAGATTCCAAGACATACACTGGGGTAGTAAATTCTCATCCTTATGGGGACATAGAAGTTATTAAAAAGGAATGCATCGGACACGTCCAGAAGCGTATGGGATCCCGCCTTCGTAATCTAGTGAAAACAAGTAAACAACTTGGTGGTAAAGGAAAGCTGACAGGAAAATTTATTGACAAGCTCGCAGTGTACTACGGACTTGCTATTCGACGCCATTCTGATTCTGTCCAGGATATGCATAAGGCAATATGGGCGACCTTCTACCATTATAGTTCAACCGATGCAAATCAACGCCACGAGAATTGTCCAACCGGTGAAGAATCGTGGTGTGCGTATCAACGAGCTCGGCGAAAAAAACGGCTTACAAGCACGACTACAATCCACTTCCACCAGCTGTTTTGAAGGCCATCAAACCCATATATACTGATCTCAGTAAAGAAACTTTACTTGAAAGATGTGTTGGTGGCTTCAATTAAAATAACAACGAAAGTTATAATCAACTTATATGGAAAATCAGCCCCAAAATCGTTTCGAGTGAAGGAACAGTCGTTAATTTAGCAGCCTACATTGCCGTTGGACTATTCAACGAAGGAGCGAAGTCGTTATTGTTTTACCTGAACGCCATCGGAGTGAAATGTGGTCACAACGCACACACATACGTGGACAAAATCGACGAAGCCCGGATTGCAGTGGCAGAGAGGCGTGCGGCCGAGAGCACTCGTGAAGGCCGAATGCAGCGAAGACAACAACAAATTGCTTTTTTGGAAGCGACATCGTCGGCGGAAGAGCTATTGTATGGGCCCGGAATAGATGACTCTAAGTTGAAAAAAAAATTGTTTTCTTCGTGTAAACTCGCTCGTAATGTGTAAACGCGTTTTTCTCGAAATGACATTTTTGAAGTCGGTGACCAAAATTACTCGAAAACTACTGAACCGATCTTTTTGAAATTTGACAGGCTTATTCAATACATAAAAATGTAGTACTTAATCGTTCGTTTTTTTTTTTTTCGAAAAAAAATGGCCGTTTTATAGCCAAAAAACGACCGTTTTTTTTAGTGAATAATCGAACCATTAACTTTGACTGTCCGCCATTTTGTGAAAAATGCATATTTTTTTAAATCCTTCGATCAAGTACTAGTTTATACTGTTATTTAACTAAATCCGTCGACATTTTTTGTTTCAGATGATCCAGTTCGCCACAATTTTGGTCACCGCAAACCATCAAAATAAAAATACCAATTTTTTGACGGCCTTTTATAATTTAACTATGTAATATTTTTCAATAAAAAAATTACTGAAAGATGTTCAATGTATGTACATTAAGGACATAATGATCGTTTAAAAAAGTTTCGTAGTTTGCCTAAAAAAAATTCATGAAAATGACCTATTTTTTTGCGCTACAAGTGGGGTTAACACCTTTACACAACAAATGAAGATGTGTAAAGCGGGTAGTTGTCAAAAGACCAAACTTATCTTCAATATCCATTTATATCATATTAAAATTTACATTATATACATGTAACAGTTTATCCATTATATATATATATATATATATATCGTAATATTTCTTTTACATCATATATATTGACATTTTTTCTGTACATGTATTAAGGCATATTTTAACTTATTAATTAAGTTGTAAAACAAAAATTTCTTAATTGTTATATTATTTATAAAATTTCATTTATTATCAAAGTAAATAAAGATTTAAATGTATTTTATTTGAAAATTAAATACAATGTACTCAAAGATTATAACAAAATTCTATACAGATACTTATAACTGTTTAATGAATAATTTACAATAGTATATGCAAAATTGGTACAAAGATTAATATTACATACTTCTTCAGACAAGTATCATTTTGCATATATAAATGACATAAATGTATAAATATATTTTTAATATTATATTCGCACCAATAAAAATGATTGATATTAAAGTATTTGCAAAAAATTGAAACAATTGGAACATTAATTTTTTTATACTAAATATTTTAAACTGCATTATAGGATAAATATATTATCATTAATTATGGCACATCTTTAGAGTAAATTAATGTAAATGTCAAAAAAGGATAATAATGCATCTAGTTCTCATCCTCTTCATTCTCATTTGAAATGTATTAGACTCTCAACATCACTGACAAGGGAACGGTCAGAACTGTCCCTCACCGATTTTGATGCGCTTTGGATATGTTGTAGAGCATCAAAAAATATTCGACCTATATTTTTTTATAGCGGCTTATCTCGAGGATTAGGGGGTGAAACACCCCTTTAAAGAAAATGGATTTTTTCGTTTTCGGCAAATATCTTCGAAACTATGCCCCATATAAAAAAATGGTTTATACAATAGTTTTACAGTATTTTATGCTGTATATAATAGTGTATTCATTTTTTTTAAATCAAATTTTTCAATTAACCCCCACCCCCACTTATCAGGGTTGCAAAATTAAAAAAATTTTTAAGAACAAAAATTAAAGAGCATCGGATCCCGAATCCATTCATATATAATGTTATGGTTCCACGATTCAATATTTCAAAAATCAAGATGATAACGTGCGTGACGTTTGTTATAACACGACTATCATCTTAATTGAAAAATTTGATTTAAAAAAAATGAATACACTATTATATACAGCATAAAATACTGTAAAACTATTGTATAAACCATTTTTTTATACGCGGTATAGTTTCGAAGATATTTGCTGAAAACGAAAAAATCCATTTTCTTCAAAGGATTTTTTACCCCCTAAACTTCGAGATAAGCCGCTATAAAAAAAATGAGTCGAATATTTTTTGATGTTCTACAACATATCCAAAGCGCATCAAAATCGGTGAGGGACAGTTCTGACCGTTCCCTTGTGAATAATGCTACTTTTTAGATTTACAATCATATACAGTTATATATGTATATATATATAAAATACAAATTATAGAATTGATACGTCAAAACTGCTTTCATGGAAGAAAGAACTTTACTGCTATCCTATTTTAGTATACAGAACATTATACTATAATACACAAAATATACATGAGTTTAGCGCCTTGCTTTACGTCGTCACAACCACTTTAACACTTGTGTCATATAGGTAATGTCTATGAGACTTAATAAATTTTTTTTGTATAAGCACCAATTTAAATTCTTTATATAATTATAATATAGCAGTATAATATAATCTGACAATTTTATATTTCTTATCGAATAAGTGATTTTTTTTTTTTTTATTGATTTGACACGAGATTATCTCTCTCTCTCTCTCTCTCTCTCTCTCT